TTCTGCTTCTCATTTGAGGATTGGGATATGATCTCTCAACTGCTGCTCCAGTGTGATGGCTGCCAGCCTGCTGCCAAACTCTCCACCCAATGGTGAGGGGCTCCTAGGAAACCCAATTAAACACTTCGTTCTGTTGCCTTGGCCAGTGTTTTTACCACAGCAGCCCTAAGACAGATAATTCTTAAGAGATCTTTTGAGTTAAAGAATTTAAAAGATTATATATTGTTAAAATTATGAACTAAGGAAGCCATCAGAGGTTTGGACTTGGCATGGGAACTGTACCAGGTGATGAACCAGGTAGCTGAACAGATCACAGCAGATACCTAACAACGTGTGCAGGGAGGCATGTCAATTAAGTCTGGGTGAGACTGTCTCTCCAGGGATGGGAAGGGAGGTCTGTGGGGTGATTTCTACTATCTGTTGTGTGTGTTATTTCTTACTTGTGCAGTTTATATATACATTTGCGTATGAGCAAAGAGTTTGATGTTAGCCAAGCTGTGGAAAAAGATAGTTTTCCTTAAATTAAAACACACACACACACACACACACACACACACACACACACAAAGGAACTCACAAAGCAAAGTCAGTGAGTACAACTACAACATAGGTACATTAATTCAGAAAGAATTTGTGTTTACTCTTGTCAGGAGTGTAGGGACCTCACAACCCAAGCTCATGTAATAAGATGTTTTTTCTCTTTCATTCATTCAGAAAGAATTTGTGTTTACTCTTGTCAGGAGTATAGGGATCTCACAACCCAACCTCATGTAATAAGATGTTTTTTCTCTTTTGGGGGTTTGCCACCCAGCTCCTAAATAATTATCACTCACACAGAGGCTTATTATTACTTATGAATGCCTGACCTTAGTTTAGCTTGTTTCTTGTCAGCTTTACTTAAATTATCCAACCTACCCTTTGCCTCTGGGCTTTTATCTTTCTTATTTCTGTGTGTCTTATTTTCTTCTTATTCCGTGGCTGGCTGGGTGGCTGGGTGGCTGGCTCGCTGCCCCTGGTGTCCTCCTCTCCTTGTTCTCTTGCTGCTCTTCCTCAGTTCTCCTTCTGTTTATTCTCTGTGCCTGCCAGCCTCACCTATTCTTTCTCCTGCCTTGCTATTGGCTGTTCAGCTCTTTATTAGGACCACCAGGTGTTTTAGTCAGGCAAAGAATCACAGCTTCACAGAGTTAAACAAATACAGTATAAACAAGTCACTCACCTTAAAATAATATTCTCCCATAAGCTCATTTTTTTTTTCTTTTTTTAGACAGAGTTTCATTATTAGTTCTGGATAGTCTGGAACTCACTGTATAGACCAGGCTGGCCTCAAACTCAGAGATCTGCTTGTCCCTCCCAAGGAGTGTGCCACCATGCTTGCGCCCGAGCTTGATTCTACCAAAGTCATTGCATGAGGTTATTTGAGCACCAATGGCTGAGTCTGAGCTGTGGTACATGCCAGGAGTGACTCATGAATTTTTCAGGAATATTTCTAGCCTTCCCTTTTTCTACATCTTCATTTGCTCGATTACAGGGAAATTTGGCCATTTTGCTCTTAATGTCTTTAGTTGTTCCGTATAATACTGTCTAACCACACCAGGTTTCTCTCTCCCACCTGCATACTCTTCTTGCCCACATTGCTTCTGGGTCTCACCTCAAGGAAGAGGAATGGTAAGGAAGATAGAAAGGGAGGGAAGATAGGAATGAAGGTGAGAAGAGGAAGTCAAGTGGGAAGGAAAGAGTTTGCGATCGCACCATAATTGCCCTCAGTAATTTGTTACTGGCAGTGATGTCAAGGTCACAGTATGGCTCTTGGCTTAGTTACTATACCTCTGCTTCTTCAGTAGAGTTCTGTGTGATTGTTGCAAGGTCATGGATTGTAGACATATTTAGGCTCGTAGCAAAAAATAAAGAGTTGAAGACTTAATGACAGTAAGAAGTTGCTAGTGCTAAACCAACAAAGTTTAAAATATGGAGCCCTAGAGCTGTGCCATAATGGTGCTTCCTTTTTTTTTTTTCCTTTGTTACCTGCTGTGAACCTGATGGCTTGCTCATCTGTGAAATGGGTGTATTTACTTTGCAGAATTGCTATTGATGGTCATTGGACATAATAGGGACTTTGGTTAATTACTGTTATTATTCGTTTGCTGTTGTCATAGTTCTTGCTGAAAAAATTATAGTGTACCCTCCCAAATGTCTTCTCTGAGTCATCTGCTCATCACATAACAAAATAACCGACTCTACTTACAAAGAAAAAGGCTCTAGGCTAGCCAAGGCTACATAGTGAGACCATGTCCTAGAAAGAGGGACGAGAAGAGGAAATAGAGGCTTGCCTCGCTCAGTTTTGTAGGTTCAAGACCACCATGTCCTTCATAACTTCATGTCTGGAGATGATGATGATGAATGGTCTGTGGGGAGCAAGGACGCCCTGAGTGAATACGTAAGGAGTGGATGAAGTCCTGAGTGAATGTGTATTGTTGACATGAGCACAGTCAGGTTAAAGATCCCAATGTCTCAGTCCCATGGGACTGACAAAACCTTCCCATCAGCGAGGCTCAGAGACATAGCAAAGACTTCCTCTGGTCCAAGTATTTTTAAGAAAAATTAATCAGTGTGTGCAAACACTAGTAACTGCAGCTTCTTCCTCCCGATGAGTGCAATGTGAGACAGCTCAGCTGTTGAGGCTCCTATTAAGCTTACTCTTCCTTCCTGTGTTGTTCATAGTAAACACGCCCAGATTCTGGGTTGTGGCCTAGTGATGCCAGTTACTGAGAGTGAGCATGGCCCACAGGGTCCCAGCTTTTCTGTAAGCCATCTGTCCTTTCTTCATTCCTCTTGCCCCAAGCTGTGCAGGGTATGGCAGAGAAAGAAGGTGCAGTGCATGCAGGGCTAAGTGAGTGCATCTGCAATCAGGAGCTCAAAGTGTGGTAGGCTTTTTTGGTGAGAACACCGAAAGAACAAACCTATGTGGACTATCGTCAGGTGGCATACCCGGGGTTACTTAGGCACCTGATATTTGGCCGGGCCTCCCAAAGTTTCCAGTGCTTTCCAACAGTGACACCCAGGTCCAATCACAACATCCTTTTACAACAGTAAGAGTAGTAAAATATCCTCAGAGCACCGTGAACAGCATATTTACACACACACACACACACACACACACACACACACACACACAAACGACAGTACTTTGGCCATGTTTGTGTCCACATTGCTATGGGTAGGTCCTACTTCTCCGGGATAAGCATTGGGTTTAGGAATGGGCAGTTAGCTGGACGAATTAACTCCCTTGGAGTTTTAAATTTAGGAATGGAAAACCTCATGTTCACCATGTTTAATGGTAAGGCTGAAGCTTTAAAGCAATGGCCTTGTGTCCAGCCACGTGGAAGAAGCTGCCTGGACAAGATGAATCCAATGTGCATCGAAGGGTCAAGATGAGGGTGAGGCAGGCCGGGAGACTGGTTCTAGCAGCCCTGTGGCCCAGCAAAGTCCTATCCTTGCCAAGAGTGCCTTTCTCCTTTTAGCCAAAAGGTAGTTAAGTTTCTATCAGAGGCACCTGGGGAGGGCTGACTGATTTACACAGTTCAGCTGGCTGTGGTGAAGACTGCCTGGCACATAGTAGGGGCTAAACAAACATTGCCTAATTATTTCTATTTTAATTAATTGCACAATGCATTCCTATGTGGAAGGGAGACCTGGTGAAAAATTCTTTCCCAAGAGTTCCCGTGAGAAAACAGAAAATCAAAGGGAGAGAGTCCTCTACTCCACCACCCAACGTCATCGTCATCCATGGCCAAGAGGTTTACATACCTACCCTGAATACCACTAATAGTGCTTCCTTCAACAAAACTTTCTCTCCCAGAATTCTTCCTCCTATGCTGACAAGCTTGAGTTCTGGTTCTGTGTTCCTGGCCTCAGCTGGTTCAAAGTACGCAGCTATAGGCCTTACACTAATTGAATTTCTATTGCAATCATTGTGGGGAGGGTAGGTCTGGGGAAGGAGCTGCCTTCGAATGTGATTTTGCTTTTTTTGAATCTTTACCTAATGGCAGCTCAGTTCTCAAGGCCAGCCTTTGCAAACATTATGTCTTCATTACTGTGGCAGTACATTTGCCACGGGTAATACAGAAGCGTAAATCAATGCCTTTATTCAGGGTTGTCTTTTTGGCGGGCTCCTTTTCTTTAAGCCTTACTCAGATGAGGATAGAAAGAAGAATCTTCCCAATTCCTACTCACACAGAAAGTTTTGTGTCTTGAATCTAATTCCTGTCACCGGAATTCATAAGTGTCCAGGTCGGAGAGACTTCTTCGCTTCTAATCTGTACTATCTTATCTATTCAGAGAAAACTCTAAGTCTTGTGTGAATAAGAGCGGCCAACTGATGCGAGCAGGGCACACAGTCTTTCATCATTCACCAGCTTAGTTTTCTGGCCAGGTAAGCGTCCGTAATTGTGTCGCCATCCGGGCCAGTTTCCCTTAGAGGTGGATTCAATCTCGGCTTTCAATTGCCTAGTGTACTTTGCAACCAATTGCATAAGCCTCCCCAGGAGAGATTTCGACAACCCGGGAGCTCTTCTTTTTACGTTCAGGGATGCTTTTGTACGACTTTAAACCGAGCGTCGGAGCTACGCCAGTGAGGAGCCGAAATGCTCGTCCCGGGGGCCAGTCTGTGTGCCCAGGGAGTGTCGGTCCAGTACCCCACTCCGGGGCCTTTGTCCTGCACGCACGCACGTACGGGCGCGCACCAGCCCGGCCGGCCAGCTGGCTTTCTCCCGCTGCTCCCTGCTCCTTTGTCCCGGAACACGCCTCCTCCTCCGCGAGACGCCGCCTCGGCTCTCTCAGCCCCGTCCCGCCGAGCCCTCCGCCTGCAGGCCCGCTCTACGCCCGCCCGCCAGTCTGCCCCTCGGCGAGCCGCAGGGCGCGCGCCGGAAGTGACGCGCAGGGCGCCGGCGCCCCGCCTCTTCCGGCGCGCGCCCCGCCCAGGCCCGTCTCTCGGCCGCGCGCCCCTCCCCCCTCCCCGGCGCTCTCTTCTCTGTCAGCCGCTGTCCCTGTCCCCCTTCGCCCGCGTCCGGCTCTTCCTGTCGCACCTGAGCGCACGCACCTGCCCGGCCCGCGTCCTCGTCTTCCTCCCGCCCTCCCCCCGCCTTTCCCCTCCGGGCCTGAAGGCTCTGCCGGGTCGCGGGCGCCTCGCGGCTGCGTCACCGCCGCCCCCCAGACAAGATGGACACCGCCGAGGAAGGTGAGGCGGCGGCGGCGGCGGCGCCCTTGCAGCGGCGCCCGCGCTCCAAGCGGGCGCGCGGGGCCGGCGGGTCCTCCCGCGGGCTCGGCTCGGAAGGTGACCCTCTGCGCGCCCCCGGGGCGCCGGTGCCCGCGGGCGACGGACGACCCAGCCTCCACTGACCCGGGGGAGCCCGGACTTCGGTGTCCGGGACGAGGGTGCCGCGACCGGGGGTGCCCGGGACGTGGGGTGCCTGGGACTTGGTGTCGGGGACGTGGGGTGCCCGAGACGAGGAGTGTCGGGACGTGGGGTGCCTGGGACTTGGTGTCGGGGACGTGGGGTGCCCAAGACGAGGAGTGTCGGGACGTGGGGTGACCGGGACGGCTGGTGTCGGGGACGGGGGTCCCGGGATGGGGGTGTCCCGAGGCGAGAGGTGCCGGGACGTGGGGTGCCGAGACGACGGGTGTCGGGACATGGGGTGCCGGGATGGGAGCACCCCGAGACGAGGGGTGCCGGGACGTGGGGTGGCAGGGCTTGGCGGTGCGGAGGGTCGGGCCCCAGCCTCCACCATCCCTCGGTCCGCAGGGAAGGGGTCCGCGGAGCGGAGACCGGGGCCTTGTCCACTCCCCTCCCCCACTCGTTTTTCTGTGTTCGGGACTGTTTGCCGATTGTCCTGTGGGCCCTACCTCTCGGCCACAGAACTTCTTTGTTGACTTTGAAAGTTCGCGGAAAATATCAGGGTCAAGTGATGACGGCCCGGTGGACTGAACTGACCCGACCCCCTGTTGAAACCTTGCCCTCTCCTTACCTTACCCTGAGGGCATCGACCAGACCCGGGAAGGAGGGGCCCCAGAGAGCCTATTGGAGGGACAGAGGCTGATATTTACCTTTCTTTTTAAATTCTTGACACTACAAGTAGGGGTTGGTTTGTTTGGTGTTTGTGAACTTTTGTGTATTTTTGGAAACAAGCACATAACACGAAAGTGAATATAGAAAGCATATAGAAAGCAGACACTTGCTATTTTAAAATGTTTTAAAAGCAGTTTAATATTTTCAGAGTTAGCAAGTTTGTAGAGGAAATTATTGATTTTATATTTAACCAGTATGGATACTTAACACTTCGGATATATTTTTGTTAGAAAGGGTACCTTTTCCTGCCTAATGTATTTTGGTGACGTTAAATGCAGTTGAACCAAGCACTATATTGAAGTCATTAGAGTAATAACAAGTTTTATGTTGACAAAACTTGATTTTTTAAAAAAAGTCTTATAAAAAAACCAAAACAACAAAAAACCCATGTAGTTTATGCTCAGATGCATTCACTTTGAAGTTCAAGGTGATGCGTATGTTTCCTTTCACGGCTGTGGAAATTTAGGCTTATTTTAATAGCTATTTAAGGTTCACACAGGTAGTTGGAGACAGTTGACCCTGTTCTCTTTGCTTGTCGATGCCTGTTCATTAGGCTATGGTTATTATATGAGTGGAGCTAGTTGCCATTGGAGACCACTTTTGAAACGACAGTAAAAATGAAACTGTTGAAGATTAACGTTCACACAGGTTGAACTTGTAAGTGTACCTTTCTGTAGGTTTAACATCCTTTTAGTGAACAGTCAGTAAGAAAGTTCTCCCTGTTCATCTGTTTCAGCCTCTTGCATTACCATGACAGACTTCGAAGTTCTTTTTAGTAAGATTTTTTTTATGTGTACGAGTGTTTCGTTCACACGTATGCTTGTAAGCTGCTATGTGGTGGCTGAGACTCAAACTCTGTCCTTTGCAAGAACAAATGCTCTTAACTGCTGAGCCATCATCTCTCTTGCACTTTTAAGTTTTAATTAATAAATCTAGTAAGCCATGTGCACATTACTTTCTTTATACAGGCATGGTATATGAAATCCTGATGCTTCCCACCTGGGCACTTACTGCTTGTATAGACTATGGTGTGCCCTAGTTATTAGTAACTCAGGGATTGAGAAACTAAGAGCGTCTGTGGTGTCTTGGGGGAAGTGGTACTTCTAGTGCTTAAGGATACTTTTTTTTTTTTTCCTTTAAATATTGGGATAAGATAGAAGTGATTCTGGTTTTTCAAGACAGTTTGTTTGTGTAGCTTTGGAGCCTATCCTGGCACTCACTCTATAGACCAGGCCAGCCTCGAACTCAAGAGATCCACCTGTCTAGGCCTCCCAGGTCCTGGGATTAAAGGCATGCACCCCTGCCCCCACCAGTATCCTGCTGATTGAAGTAATATTTAAAATCGATTTAGATATTGTACTCAAAGTAACTAATATTTACTGAGGAGTCTGTGTGCTTTCCTTAGTAAACATTTTATATTACATCTCAATTCTGTCACCATGTTTGGGAAGGTAGTAACCTGCCATTATAGAGGCACTAAAGTTTAGTTTGATAACTTTCTCAGGTTCTCTCAGGTAGTAAATGGCAGGAGAAAGATTCACACTCATGTCAGACCCCATACTTAATTTATAAGTGAATATCAAGTGTTCCACAGTGAGATAACTTGTGTTTGTCATTAATATACATTAACAAGACCTTAAATTTTCAGCTATTCTATGTAACTACTATTTGTGAAAGTGAATTTTGATAGTTTGTTTATTTGTATATATGTGGAGGTCAAAGAACAACCAATAGGAGTCAATGTTCTCAAAACACTCATATAGACAAAAATCAGTCTTAAAAAACAAAAACATCCTGGGGCTGGAGAGATGGCTCAGCAGTTAAGAACACTGGCTGCTCTTCTAGAGGTCCTGAGTTCAATTCCCAGCAACCACATGTGGCTCACAACCATCCATAATGAGATCTGGTGCCCTCTTCTGGTGTGCAGGCAAACATGGAGGTGGAACACTGTATATACAATAAATTAACTCTTTAAAAAGTATTTTATGAAAAATGATTTTTAGTAGATTACCCACCACAGAAGCTGGATGTTACTCTTTAAAATGTCATCCTGTGGTTGGGTGGTGGAGGCACATGTCTTTAATTCCAGAACTCGGGAGGCAGAAGCAGGTGGATCTCTGTAAGTTGAGGCCAGCCTGGTCTACAGAGCAAGTACCAGGACAGGTACACAGAGAAATTCTGTCTCAGAAATAACAACCAAAAAAAAAAAAAAAAAAAAAAAAAAGGGAAGGGGAAAAAAAAGCATGTTGCAATGTTGCATTCTTCTGATAGACCATCTATAATTCTGTTGTTGGAATGTTTTTATTTACAGTAAAGCATTCATTTTTTAATTTCTTCCTTTCATAGTAAATAATCACCAAATTTTAAAAATTGCTAAAGTGCTAAGTAGTGTATTGAATTATATTTTTGTCAAATCAGCAAGTTTATGATTTGTTTTTTATTTGGTAGATGACTCATCTTTTAATGAGTACAGGTGTGATATGTAAACTACTGGCATCACTTCACTTCTTTAAACTTAAGAGCTAGAGGAGACCTTTGTCATCTAGCCTCTTCATTTTATGGGTCAGCAGTCCAGTCTGGCAATGTACTGAGATTTTTTTCAATTAAAAAATTCTATACTGTGCTCAAAGATACATTTTTTTTCCTTAAAGGAAAAGTACTACACTGTTGGAATAGATGTGACAATCAAGAACTTTTGTTTGAAGCTCTCACAAAGTATTTTGCTCCAGTAGAATGCTAATATTTCAACCCAGAGATACATAAAGCGGTGTCTTGTTTTCCATTTAGCCATTAGGGGATGTAAAACAAATTTTTATCAGTATTTTTGTGGGATATTAAAAGTTCAATTTTGTAGCCAGGCATTGGTGGCGCACACCTTTATTACCAGCACTTGGGAGGCAGAGGGAGGTGGATCTCTGTGAGTTAGAGGTCAGCCTGGTCTACAGAGCAAGTTCCAGGACAGGCTCCAAATCAATACAGAGAAACCCTGTCTCAAAAAGCAAAAAACAAACAAAAAACTTTATTTTGTGTTTTCTGATGGAGAATATTCTTTTTTCGTTTGTTTGTATGCATTTAGGGTTTCTTCTCTATTGTCCTAACTGGCCTACACTATATAGACCAGGCTGGCCTAAAACTCAAGAGATCCACCTGCTTCTGTATCCCAAGTGATGGCTGGGATCATTGGTGTTCACCACCATTGCTGGGCCTAGAAAACACTCATTTTTAAAAGTATGAAGCTGAACTGTATTGTGACTAATCACGTTGTTTAACATTATGGCAAAAAGTTGGAGTAGTTTAAATTTAGGAGGAAGGTATTAAAAAGATGGGTAGATGTCAGAGTCAGACGGCTATCTTCCTTCTCTTTTAGAAATTAGTCTTTTACTTGTTTCCAGATATGCCCACTTTATCCTGACCACAGAATTTTGTAAATAAAACATGCCTGCATTCATCTGGCATGTTTATTGAATATCCAGACAGTTGGTGTGCTTGAATTAGGAAGGAAATAAATAGAGAAAATTCTGTTTTTCTCCATAGAGCTTAAAATCTAGTTAATTTGGGAGGTGAGGAAGGGAAAACAAATTAAACATCAAATAAACTATATGACATGCATAAATAATAGAAGGTATTATGTGTTGTGCATAAAAGCAAGTATGAGAGCAGAGCCCACAGTTTTGACAGCAGAGGACATAACAGAGAGGACATAGGAGGAGTTGTCCCTGCAGATGCTTTGTGGGTAGAGTCAAAATAGCCTCTAAGGTACAAACATGCTCGGAATGTTAAGAAACCACTAGGAAGGTGTGTCTCTAGGGAGTGAATGAACTTGAGGAGAACAGGTACTTCATGAAGACATTTGGGGGTGGTCCTCTAGTGGAAGTTCAAAGGGGGCACCAATGTGGGATCTTCTGTAACCCTACTAGGAGGTAGAACCTCTAGAACAGTTATCTCTAGCAAGAGTAGAGGTTGACATACAAACTTTCTTTCTACTTTGTCACTGGTGACTTTTTTTCATAGACTTATTAACTAGTAGGTGGTAACCCTAAATTTCTTAGATCTAGAATATGACTAGCTCATTTTGATCCAAGAAGCAGGGTGATAGTGGGAAAGATAATGGA